TTGTATGCCACGTCAATATTGCGTTCGGACCATCGCGAAACTGACAACTCCCGCCTCCAGGTCAGCGAGTCGCGCCCACTTTCTGCCTTGTGCTGCTTCCAGCCGCGAAGAGCATTGGCGAAACTGCGCGCCGCGCCAAGGCGCGAACTTTTTTTAATTCTATTGACTAGGCTCGCACCGCAGGAGACGACCGAACCTCTTCCAAATCGATTAACCTACATGCGCTTTTGCGATAGTATCTGCCAGTTTTGATCCGTGGGAGTCGGTGGTCCCTCTCGATGTCACTGTTTCGGTAGCGCGAAAATGTTTGGCGCGCGTGTCACGCATATTGTCTAGATACATTTTTTTTGCCACGTGTCCACCGCGATTTACTGAAACATTTAAGAGCACTAAATATAAGCTGGGGCCGACAAAAAATAAACCCTGAAATACAGGGACGCAATTCGGGAGGCATCAACCCTAAACACGGATGTCAAGGTGTTTAGGGTTGATGCCTCGAATGTGGTGCAATTCGGGAGGCATCAACCCTAAATACGGGAGCTGGCAAGGTGTTTGGGGTTGATACTTTGAAAGCGGTGCCTGGCTCCCTAGGGGTTTTAGTTTGTTTTACACCGTATAAAAAACAAGACCTAACAAAATCAGCATAAGACAAGCGTTGTCGGCGCGACCAGACTGAGGTGACGTAACACTTCGCAAATCCGTCTTGGGTGAACGAATCAAAACCCCATGCTGTAATTTCGCGATACTGACCGTAAATCCAAATTGCACCTGTAACGCAGATTAATACACGTCGGCAGCATGAATCTAACGTAGAAGAGCATGTAGATCAATCCATTTGGACGAGGTTCGGTCGCCCTACCTACGGTGAGAGCTTGGCTGATGGGATTAAGGAAAGTTCGCGCGCCGGTGCGTTGCGCAATTTTGCCGCATTCCGCCCTGCCTTGTGGCTAAAATGGAAAAATTGCGCGACGCGACAGACTCCAAACTTTTTAAAATCCCATCGACCAAGCTCGCACCGCAGGCTGGGCGATCCGAGCCTCGGCCAAATGGATCGACATACATGCGCTTTTGTGATAAAGACAGACAATTCTGATGCGTAAGAGTCGGTGGTCCCTCTCGATGTCATTGTTTCGAAGCGTGATTATGTTTGGCGCGCGTGCCACGTTTCTTGTTTACTGGAATATATATTGCGCGGGCAATAAAAAAATAAACCCCATCCAGATGGCATGCCATTCGGGAGCCTCAACCCTAGAATTTTAGGGTTGAGGTTCCCGATGGGCATGCCGTAAGCCATGGGGTTTATTTTGTTTGCCCGCGGTCAGCATGCTGACTCACTTGGTAGCGTCGTGTAGCGAAATCAAATATATATATTGGAAGATTCGGAACCTCAAGCTGTAATTTCGCGATTCTGACCGTAAAACCAAATGGCACCTGTAACGCCTAGTTAACCGCGTTCGCAGCATGAAAATAACGTGGAAGTGTTTGTAGATCGATCCATTTGGCCGAGGTTCGGATCGCCCTACCTGCGGTGCGAGCTTGGTCGATGGGTTTGAGAGAAGTCCGCGGTCTGTCGCGTCGCGCAATTTTTCCGGCTGGGATGCATCCCTCCCCCTCCCATGCCTTGTCAGACCCCCCAACCAGAACGGAGCCTCGCCTCGCGTTGCGGAAAATTGGTTGCTTGCGCCAAGCGCTGCCTTTCTTGCATTTCTGCGCCAATCATTCATCCATTGTCGCGTGGGGTGGTGCTCGGCGGGCGGTGATTCCACGTGACTGCCAAACCCAGAGGGCAGTCACGCACGAGCTGTGACCAGCACCCGCCCCCCCGTCATCCCATCTCATGGCCCACACCTCACCACCATACGGTGCCTGCGCAGTAGGCACATGACATGGATTGGAGCTCACACGACAAACAGCCAGCCATCGCCATAACCCTGTCGGCTGGCGACCCTGTCGGCCTCGCTGGCTAGGTGCTGTACCCACCGAGCACACTTGTGGTCTCGCATCGAACAGCAATCCGCAGTTTCAGCGTCTGTCCGCGAGTTTCTAGCTTTGTAGAATTCGGTTTTTTTCGTCGCATCGCGATTAGGAGCTCTCAATGGATGTGATCGACCCTTCGTTGTCCTCCCAGCCCGCGCAAAGGGAATGCATGCAGGCGGGCATGCACGCGGTCAGTCCCAAGGATCAAGTGCCGTCGCAGTCGCCCGAATCTGTCGCCAAGGATCGTCGCCATCAGAAGCACCGTCGCCGGATCCTAGGCTCGCGCCACGGCACGCCCGCGTCCATCCGTCCGTCCGTGCTCGAGTCGCGAGCGTCTGGCCCTCCGTCGCTCAGCGTTGACTCCGCTTTAGTCAAGCTCGCAGCAGAAGGGGGGGCCGAAGCTGAAGCGCCGTCGAATTCTTGGGACGGCTTCTCGTTCCCCGCCACGCCGAGCACCTGCGATGGCGATCTTTCGCCCACGTTTTCGCCCAGGGTTTTCTCGCCTGGTGGAAACATTTCGCCTCATGGTTCTTCGCCTGCCTTTTCGCCAAGAATTCCATCGCCGCGGTTACCATCTGGCGCAGCTGCGCAAGGAGCCGCTCCCGGCAATGGGCGCGCAATGGAGAGCCAACGGCGCGCGTTTCCTGGTTGTCGACGTGGCGCCGTGCCGCCGACTCGCCTGCAGCGCGACGCGGCGCTCGTCGGCTCTCCACGCGGCGACGCGTCAACTTCCTCCAAGGCGCAAAATTCGCAGAATTTCCTCGCGCCGAACGTTCTGAGCGCAGTTCGTCCGTCAGCGACGCACCGCGATTATTCGCACCCCGAGCGGGCGGCATTCCAAGGTACCCCTGAGGCAAGTGCTGTCCATTCCGGCAGTCACGCCGGTGCTCCCGCCAGCCGTGGCCCGCTCGCTCGCGTTCGCCCTGCCGCCTCCACAGCAGCAGGGGGAGCCCACGGCGTGCAGATGCGCGGGCCACGCCCGCCGTCGCTCATCCTGCCGTCCCAATGCGCCCCCCACACGTGCCATGGCACATCCGCCACCCACGCTGCCGTCAGGGCCCCGCAGGCCGTCAATGACCGTTCCGCTGCGGCTGCTGTCTCGCCCGCCGCGTCTGCTGACTCCGCTGCTTCCTCGCCGTCTTCATTCGCCTCCTCCCCACCCACTCCCTCTCCGACCGCTGCTGCTGCCAGCCCCTCTGCCCACCTGCTCGCTTCCCCCTTCGCGGAATCACCAAAGCTGCTACACCCACGCTCTCCGCACGCCGCCCCTTCCCCTCCTTCCTCCGCCTCCGCATCTCCGCGCCTGCTCCAGGCGTCCCGTCCGCGCGCGCCCAGCGCACACACATCTCCGCGCCCCTGCATCCCCGAGCGCGCTGCGCAAAACGCCGACCAGGCCGAACTTCCTCGCGCAGCCAGCTTTCACCACCCGCCCGCCCGCCGCCGCGAGTCTGATGCACCAATGGCGCACGTGGCGGCCGAACTTGCCCGCGCGCGCAGCTTCCACCGCCCTCTCTCGCAACTGCAGCAGAAGCTCTCCCCCTCCGCTGCCCACCATACCCGCTTGCCCTTCCCCATCCTGCGCCTCGCCCTCCCCCGCTCCCCCAGCCATCCCGCGCCCCGTAGCTGCCCGCCCGCGCAGCTGCTTGCGGGACAGCCGCTGGAGCAGTGGGGGAGGGAGCGAGGGCAATGCGAGGTGAAAGGGAGGCGAGAGAAGTGGGGACAGGAAGTGAGCAGGGAGACAGAGATGGGGAAGGATTGGAGGGAGGAAGGAAGGGAGGAAGAGTGGGGGACACAGAAAGTGGGAAGGAAGGGGGGATCACTGCGAGCACGCAATGTGGACTTGAGAAACAGGCAACCGCAGCGGCGCGCATCATTCAGCTTCGGCGGCCAATCAGATGTTGCCACGTGGCAGCGTGGCCATGATGGGATGGCTATGGAAGAAGCAGACGTGCCCATGTGGCGCCTGGTGGCTCGCTTCCTGACGCCGCCCCACCCCACACCGCCCGGTCAGGCGCCGCCCAGCGCCACCTGTGCACAGTTGACTTGTCACGCCGGTTCCAAAGGAGTAGCTGCAGCTTGCACTGCCGGGGAGCAGGTAGGAGGAGGCGCTGTGATGGGGGAAGGAGGCGATGTGAGGGAGTTCAGCGGCAGCAGACAGCCGCCTGGGCGCGTACAGGATCACACTCGATACAGTCACAGCCCGACCCCCTCTCCACACGTATGCAACCCCATTGCAGCACCCACACACGCCCTCGTCACCTCAGCCCAGCAGCAGCAGCAGCAGCAGCAGCAGCAGCAGCAGCAGCAGCAGCAGCAGCAGCAGCAGCAGCAGCAGCAGCAGCAGCAGCAGCAGCAGCAGCAGCAGCAGCAGCAGCAGCAGCAGCAGCAGCAGCAGCAGCAGCAGCAGCAGCAGCAGCAGCAGCAGCAGCAGCAGCAGCAGCAGCAGCAGCAGCAGCAGCAGCAGCAGCAGCAGCAGCAGCAGCAGCAGCAGCAGCAGCAGCAGCAGCAGCAGCAGCAGCAGCAGCAGCAGCAGCAGCAGCAGCAGCAGCAGCAGCAGCAGCAGCAGCAGCAGCAGCAGCAGCAGCAGCAGCAGCAGCAGCAGCAGCAGCAGCAGCAGCAGCAGCAGCAGCAGCAGCAGCAGCAGCAGCAGCAGCAGCAGCAGCAGCAGCAGCAGCAGCAGCAGCAGCAGCAGCAGCAGCAGCAGCAGCAGCAGCAGCAGCAGCAGCAGCAGCAGCAGCAGCAGCAGCAGCAGCAGCAGCAGCAGCAGCAGCAGCAGCAGCAGCAGCAGCAGCAGCAGCAGCAGCAGCAGCAGCAGCAGCAGCAGCAGCAGCAGCAGCAGCAGCAGCAGCAGCAGCAGCAGCAGCAGCAGCAGCAGCAGCAGCAGCAGCAGCAGCAGCAGCAGCAGCAGCAGCAGCAGCAGCAGCAGCAGCAGCAGCAGCAGCAGCAGCAGCAGCAGCAGCAGCAGCAGCAGCAGCAGCAGCAGCAGCAGCAGCAGCAGCAGCCGCCGCCGCCGCCAAGTTACCCGGTACATGCTCGCCAGGTCAACATACTGCTGTTTTTTGTTTCGCAGTGTACTCCTCAATTTCGCATGGTCTTCGTGTGTGCTGAAAACACACACGCTCGCTTCAACGTGTACAAGCACGTTCATCTATTCGACTCGAGTCAAGTTCGCTTTTCACGTTCGAACTTTTACAAGCCCTAAAATTCGCGATGTTCGTCAGATGTCATGAGCGAGATTTGCGAATACGGTAACCACACAAAGTTCAAACTTATTTTCGAACTGGCAACAGAACGAACGTGCCCTAAACTGGGTAGCTGACTGTTTTGCCGGGACTGAGGAGGGGTGGGTATCGAGGGAGGGTGGTTGGTTTGGTTGGTTGTGTTGCGTCGTTGCGTGAACAGAATCTTCAGGCGCGTTCACACTCACCTGCCTGGCTGTTCGTCACTTTCCCGACGAAATTGCTTGTCTGGTTCGTCCATCTTCGCCCCCGCCTGGTGGTGGTGGTGGCGACTCACAAATTCACGACCTCTTCGCGATCGCAATACGTCGCAGAGCGGCGCGACTCGTGAGGGGAAGAGGGCGGCGGTCACGGTCTGTGGAAAAGTTTTGTTCGGGTCGAAATCCAACCAATTCGAGGATAGCAGGAGCGGAACATGTGGAGTGGGAGCAATTTCGATTTATTTTTTTCGTCCGCGGCAGGGTAGGATACAAGAAAGACGGCCACATGATGACATTTTCACGCTGACAATTTGCAGTTGCTTGCTCGCTGGAGGGCGATCAGAACAGGGTAACCTGCTTGGGGTCCAGCGAATGAATCACTCTTGCGATGGTGTTTGCTGCTGGTGGGACGTGGCGAATTGCAATCACGGAAGGGGCAAGCGCGGAATTGGTGAATCTCCTCTCCTGTGTGCTCGTCGTCTCTCATCACATCACTTTCGTTCACAATGCAGACAGCAATGGGGTGGAGTAGCTTCAAGCCGCCAAGGAGTCGTTCGTGACAAAATTGCTCACGTGTCGTCGCTCGGAGAGCGCGGCTGTGGAGAGTTCAAGTCCAGCGTCAAAGCTTTCCAAGTAGCGCAGCTGTTTGCTTTCACACGGCGATACTCTATTTCCCGCTAAGGCTTCAGCGATGCCCCAGCAATGGCGGCCGCCGCCGCGCTTTCGCCTTCGCCGCCGTGCCACCCTATCCGGTCTTTCGCTGCTCTGCCTAGTCATCAGCTGCCACGTGGCGGCGTCGGAGCGCATCAAGAACGTGGTGGTGCTGATGATGGAAAACAGGTCGTTTGATCACGTGCTGGGATGGCTGCAGCCCCGCAACGCCGAGATCGACGGCCTCGATGGCTCCGAGTGCAACCCCATCGTCGCCAAGGCCCGCGACGCGGACACGCCGGCCCCGCCAAGCGATCCGGGCAATTCGGGCGATTCGGGCGAGTCGAGCCTGTCGGGCAATTCGGCTGGCGGGGTGACGTTCGAGCAAGTGTGCATTAACGATAGAGCGCGGTACGACAACAGCGAGGATCCCGACCACTCGTTCAAAGGCGTTCGCGATCAGATCTTCGGCGGAAAATCGGTAGCTAAGGTACGACCCGTGACGTGCCCTCATGCTCGCACCGTTACCCGCGATTCAGCCCGTCACACTGATTGCGTGTCCGCATCACCTATCCCATCCGCGTCCCTGACAAACCTTGCCCTATTCGTCCATCGCAGGGATTCTAAGCCTGCCATCCCGCCGCTGCCTCTCCTTGTCGCCCCCCCTCCCCCTGCCGCCTCTTTTCTTTTCTTTATCCAGCCACTTGCTTCCCGGTCTCCCTTGCTTCCTGATCCACCCTCCGCCTGTCCTCTCCTTACGCTACTCCGCTCCCGTCCAACGCCCCCCTCTGTATCGTCCCCATTGCCTCTCCCAGGCCTCTTCTCGGCTTATGCGGGGATTCGCGCAGCAGGCGGAAGACCTCCGCGCGGGGTTCTCCGCGGAGGTGATGTCCGCCTTTCCGCCGGCCGCGCTCCCCGTGACCACCGCGCTCGCCACGCACTTCGCCGTGTGCGACCGCTGGTTCTCGTCCGTACCGGGCCCCACCCATCCCAACCGCTACTTCCTGCACGCCGCCACGTCCAAGGGGCTCCTGGCGGAGCGCAAGCCCGTGCTGCTCGCGGGCTTCCCCGCGCGCACCATCTTCGACGTCCTCTCGCGTCGCAAGGTGTCCTTCGGCATCTTCTACCACGACATCCCCGCGTCGCTCGCGCTCTCCTCGCTGCGCCGGCGGAAGCACGCGCGCAAGTTCCGCCCGATCGAGATGTTCTACGCGCAGGCGCGGCTGGGGCGGCTGCCCGCGTACTCGTTCGTGGAGCCGCAGTACTTCAACTTCTCATGTGAACCGGGCAACGACGACCATCCGGGGCACGACGTGCGGCATGGGCAGCAGCTGATTAAAGACGTGTACGAGGCGCTTCGCGCCGGGCCGCAGTGGCGCAACGCGCTGCTGATCATGACGTACGACGAGCACGGCGGGTTCTTCGACCACGTGGCGCCGCCCATGGCGGGCGTGCCGTCCCCCGACGGCGTGGTGGGCGAGGAGGACGGATTCAACTTCCGCCGCCTCGGCGTGCGCGTGCCCACCTTCGTCATCTCGCCCTGGATCGACAAAGGCATGGGTGCGCCCCCCTCCGCTCCCCATCCCACATTCCCCTCCCGCGTCGTTTTTCTTCTCATCTGTTTTTCCCCTTCTTCGGCCCCCCCTCTCAGCCACTCACTTGCCGTTTCCCTCCCCCCCTGCTCCGCCACTCATCCGCTGTTTCCGCCACTGATCCGCCGTTCCCCTCTCCCACTGCATCCAGAGCCTCCTCCTTTCTCTCCCGCACCTCTTGCGCTCCGCCAATCCCCCCTTTCCGATTTTCCCCTCCCCTTCTCTCTACCCGCCAGTCATCCATCGCCCGCGAGGCCCACACCCGACATCACAGTTCGACCACACGTCGGTGGCGGCCACACTGAGAGACGTGTTCGGGCTGACGTCCAAGCAGGACGAGCTGACGGCCAGGGACGCCTGGGCGGGCTCGCTCATGCCCTTCCTCTCCCTGCGCTCCTCGCCCCGCACCGACTGCCCCCGTGAGCACCGACTGCCCCCGTGAGCACTCCCCACGCCCACTGCCCCTATGAGCATTCCCCACGCTGCATGTGCTCAAGGCTGTGGGCTTGCAAGGGGGGGCTGTGGGTTTGCAAGGGGGGGCTGTGCTGTTCACTGATGCACGTGTCACCACTTAAGCATGCCGCCTGCTGGTAGGCCTACAGCCCACCTCGCAGTCACCCTGCCACAGCCTTGTGCTGCATTGCAAGCCACCCTCCATGCACCCCCTTCATGCCATCCATGGCACCCATCCCATGCTCCCCACTGCCACACCGCGTGCCTCGCGTCACACACTACTCGCATTGCTGCGCTCTCCCTCCGTGTGCTGCAGGGACCCTGCCCCCCGTGACGTCCCTGGGTGCCACGGCGGTGCCCTACGCATACAACGGCAGTGCAGCGCTCTCAGCGCTGCAGCAGGACATGGTGGCCATCGCGGCCGCCCTCATCCCCATGCCCGTGCCGCCCGGCGCCATTGACTCGTTCGTCAACTCGCTGCTGCAGCGCGAGGCGGGTGTGTTCGTGCGCACCGCCGTCGCTAACTTCCTCCTTCACCAGGGCGCCGGGGGCCATGGGGGCGATGAAGGGGGCGATGGGGGGGGTGATGGGGGGAGTGGGGGGAGTGGAGGGGAGGGTGTGCAAATGCGGGTGATGGCGTGTGACCGAAGCAAATGGTGGTGCCGCGCTGTGGTGAGCATGCAGCGGCTCGTGGGGTTCCGTGACAGCAGCAGTGGCGCTAGCAGTGATAGTGGGGATGGTGGAGATGCGGATGCGAAGGAAAAGGAGGAGCAGAAAGAGGAGGAGAAGAGGAAAAAGGAAGAGGAGAAGCGGAAGCGAGAAGAGAAGAGAAGGAAGGAGAAGGAGAGACGGGAGAAAGACAGGGAGAGGCGTGCGAAGGAGAAGGCGCAGCGAGAGAAGGCGCAGCGAGAGAAGGCGCAGAAGGATGAGGCAGCGGCGCCAGACGACAGCCTGTGACCCTCAATGAAACCCAATCCACAGGCGAGCAGAAGGTGCAATGCGCAGCAGATAGCAGGGCGGCACACCTCTCATGTGCTGCCCCGCATACAGCAACCCTCCCATCCCATCCCATGCGTGTGTGTATGACTGCTCAATGCTCACTCACTCACGCCCACCACCCAGGGCTAATGCACGCCGTGCAACCCCCTCCCTCCCTGTACAGCTGGCAGTGCAGCTGCGTGGCTTGGGGCCCACCTGCCAGTGCATGCCCCCTGCGCCACTCCCTGCTGCCTCACACCCACCACCCACCCCCCCAGTTGCATGCGCACCTGACCTGACCACCTCCACCTCCACCTCCACCTCCACCTCCACCTCCACCTCCACCTCCTGTGCAGCTTGCCGTGCTGCCGCCGACCCACTTCACCTGCGTGGCCTGTGTGCCTAGACGACCATAAATGGGTCACACAGACGGGACTTGGGCTGTGGGCCTGTGATAAGAAGGAGCGTTGGAGATTGAGGCATGAGCCACACCCATGTCTATCTCCTAGCCTCCACACTCCTCTGCAGCGCACTTAGACACGTTGACAACACCAGTTGGCCATGTCATATCACGCTGTTAAGTGTCATTCGTGCCTGCGTGTAATGCCAGCCTTTATTGCAAAAGCTCTAAGCGTGCTGTGCTTTCCATTCACCAGTACTAAAATAGATAATTGGGTGCAGGGTTGTACAAAAATAGAAGTCAACACGTTTCAGACAATACACCCAAACGAAGACGCTCTTATGCAGTATGTGCACAACATCACCTTGCGCTGCCAATGCCGGAATGCGAAGCGACAGGACACGTTCAACACGAGTGCGCGCGAGGGGCGCATCGCCACCGCCGTCACCCATTTGCTTGCCCCGCACCATCATCCGCCAACCCACACCTGCTACCCACTAACCGCCACCTTGCACCAAGTGCGGTTTAGGCGCGTACGGCAGCGCAGTTCGTGCGCTCCCCTGACGCATCGCGGGGATGCCGCGCGGCGCCATGCGCGTGGAGGGCGACGACCGCGGCCTGCCCGACACGAAGCGCTTCCTCGCGCTGCTCGACGCGCTCCGGGCCGGCGGTGCGTGGCTCGTCGCTGCGGCGTGGGTGGCAGCGCGCGTGCCATCTCCACAGATGGTGTAGTCGGTCGTGCGCGGCGAGTGCCGCGCGCTTGTGCTGCGGACGAGCGGCCGCCATGCTTCCGCTCGACCTCCTCACCCGAGTCCCCTTTTCTCGCGCTCCCCTTCCCACCGCCGCCCGCCCTTCCCCTCGCTGCGCCTGTGGCTTCATCCGTGTCCCCCTCCCCTTGCGCTCTCTCCGCCCCTTCCCCCCATTCCCCCCATTCTTCCTCCTCCCCTCCACGTCCTCGCCGGCCAGTCCCCCCGCCTGGCAGCGCCACAGCATGTGACGACCCAGAGAGCCACGAGCTGGCGCTGGCGGCGGAGCTCTTTGATTGGTCGAAGCCGCTAGTGGTAACCAGGGCGCCGGGGCGCCTGGATGTGATGGGTGGCATTGCTGATTACTCCGGCTCGCTCGTGCTTCAGGTGCGCCTCAGGTGCGCCTCAGGTGCGCCTCAGGTGCGCCTCAGGTGGGCTTCAGGTGGGCTTCAGGTAGATTCAGGTGCGTCTATTTCTTTGTACTCTCTGGCTTACCTCTCCTGTATCTTGCAACCCCCCTCCCTCCCCTTCCCTCCCCTCCCCTCCCCACACACAACCCCGCCAGATGCCAACAGCAGAGGCGTGCCACGTGGCCATTCAGGTCATCCGCGCAGCCCCCTCCGCCACTCCCTCGCCCCCTGCACGCCCCCCTTCACTGCGCATCGTGTCCCTCTCCGCCGCCACCAACCACCGCGTGCCGTCCGTTGCGCTGCCCCTCGCCCGCCTGCTCCCCGGCCTGTACGCCTCCGCCCCCCACTCCGCCCCCTGCAGCCTTGACTATGCCGCTGCCCATGCGGTTCTGGCGGGGGGGGCAGGCACGGGCAGTGGGGAGGAGGACGGGGCAGCAGAGGCGAGAGATTCGGGAGAGGAAGGCGGAGGGAAGGGCGGAGGGAAGGGCGGAGGGAGCAGAGAGGGGGGCGGAGGGAGCAGAGAGGGGGGCGGAGGGAGCAGAGAGGGGGGCGGAGGGAGTGGCGCAGCAGAGCAGGGAGGAGGGGTGGGAGGGACGCGGTGGGCGGCGTATGTGGGGGGGTCGCTGGTGGTGCTGGCGAGGGAGAGAGAGGCGGAGTTCCGCCTGGCATGGATGGGCGGGGAGCCGGGGCAGGGGCAGGGGCAGGGGCAGGGGCAGGGGCAGGGGCAGGGGCAGGGGCAGGGGCAGGGGCAGGGGCAGGGGGAGAAGGGCGAGGGCGGGGGCGGAGGCAGGGCGGTGGGGAGGGTGGAGGGGGTGGCGGTGGTGGTGGCGTCGGAGGTGCCGGAGGGGGTGGGAGTGGCGTCATCAGCAGCGGTGGAGGTGGCATCCATGGCCGCCCTGGTGCACGCACTGGGCATGAGCGTGCCCCCCTGGCAGCTGGCCCGCATGTGTCAGATGGTACGCCCCATCGCCCCCTTGCCATGCCATGCCTCTCTGCTGCATGCCGTCACTCTCCCTCCCTCTGCATCGCACTCGCCTCTTCCCCTTCTCACTGCCCGCGCTCGCCCATTCCACATGAATGTTTGTTCACACCACACCACAACCTCGCGTAGCACAGCGTACCCACTTGCCCATGGCGCGCACCTGTTTCTCCACACCGCCTCCCCGTTCATCCTCCTCTCTCCCATCCCCGCCCCGGCCCCTTGTCCCCCCACCCCACCACGTGGAGAAGAGCATAGTGGGAGCGCCCTGTGGCATCATGGACGGACCACATGCCAATCACCCTCGCACGCCCTCTCAGCCGCCTCTAAGGTACCCTCCCCCTCCCTACCCCCTCCCTCCCCCTCCCTACCCTCCCCCTCCCTACCCCTCCCTCCCCCTCCCTCCCCCTCCCTACCCCTCCCTCCCCCTCCCTCCCCCTCCCCTCCCCCTCCCTACCCCTCCCTCCCCCTCCCTCCCCCTCCCTACCCCTCCCTCCCCCTCCCTCCCCCTCCCTACCCCTCCTCCTCCTTCCCAATGCCTTCCCCTCCCCTCTCAGGTGGAGAACAGGGTGGTGGGCGCCCCCTGCGGCATCATGGATCAGATGGCCGTCACGCTCGCACGCCCCGCGTCGCTGCTGGCGCTGCTGTGCCGCCCGGCCACCGTGCAGGGCTTCCTGCCGCTGCCGCCCCACGTGGCGCTGTGGGGCATCGACTCGGGCGCGCGCCACAGCGTGGGGGGCGCAGGGTACAGCGGTGTGCGGGCAGCGGCGTTCATGGGACTCACGCTTATCAATGCCGCTAGAGGGCACAGCAGGGACGATGATGTGAGTGTGTGTGCTGTGCTGGCCATGTGGTCCCCTGCTTGCCTTGCCTCCTGCCCTTCCACCTCGTGCGCATCGCGTCTGTGCGCCCTCCGCTTGGCCCACGCCCCCCCATGCACGCACGGCAGCGCGTGGCAAGGCAGTCCCATGCGTGGGTCGGAGCGATTGACAGGTGGGGCTGGGGGGATGCATGCATGCGTGCGTGGCATGCGGAGCACATGCAGGGGTTTTATGCAGCTGGTCATGACGCACACGCCTCTGCTCTTTCCTCCCTGCCCGTGTAATGTTCAAACCACTCCATGCGTGTCCTTCCACTCCATGCGTGTCCTTCCACTCCATGCGTGTCCTGCCATTCACACGCTGCTCGCTTCTCCCTGTGCATCCGTGCATGTGTGTGACGTGTGCATCCGTGCATGTGTGTGACGTGTGCATCCGTGCATGTGTGTGACGTGTGCATCCGTGCATGTGTGTGACGTGTGCATCCGTGCATGTGTGTGACGTGTGCATCCGTGCATGTGTGTGACGTGTGCATCCGTGCATGTGTGTGACGTGTGCATCCGTGCATGTGTGTGACGTGTGCATCCGTGCATGTGTGTGACGTGTGCATCCGTGCATGTGTGTGACGTGTGCATCCGTGCATGTGTGTGACGTGTGCATCCGTGCATGTGTGTGACGTGTGCATCCGTGCATGTGTGTGACGTGTGCATCCGTGCATGTGTGTGACGTGTGCATCCGTGCATGTGTGTGACGTGTGCATCCGTGCATGTGTGTGACGTGTGCATCCGTGCATGTGTGTGACGTGTGCATCCGTGCATGTGTGTGACGTGTGCATCCGTGCATGTGTGTGACGTGTGCATCCGTGCATGTGTGTGACGTGTGCATCCGTGCATGTGTGTGACGTGTGCATCCGTGCATGTGTGTGACGTGTGCATCCGTGCATGTGTGTGACGTGTGCATGCTTGTGTGTTTGTGTGCGTGAGTGTGCCTGACCGCATGTCCCCATGGCAGCAGGAGGGCGCCACTGCAGCACCACATGCTTCCACGCCAGCCGCCATGCAACCGCTGTCATGCCTTTGTGAACTAGACCCGCACAGGTGGATTCTCAGGTGGTCGGGCAAGTGGTTATCTGTGTGACCCTTCAGGTGCTTCGCACACTGCACCAACCCTGTCACGCCGTCACTCTACCTGCCCCTCACCCTCACCCTCACCCTCACCCTCACCCTCACCCTCACCCTCACCCTCACCCTCACCCTCACTCTCCTCACCCACTTCGTCCTCACGCCCTGACTCGCACCGCCGTCCTCCTCTCCTCATTTGCCCACACTCTTCCATACCCCCCCTCTCAACCCTCCCCTCCCTCCCTCTCATCCCAACCCCCATCCCAACCATGTGGGCACCCCTGCCCGTGCATGCCAGCGTGCCCCCACTGGAGCCCGTGCTGCCCCTCGCCATGCGGGGCAGCGCCTTCCTCGCGCAGCACGCGTCCCACGGCGACCCCGTCACCACCGTGGCGCCCGCTCTGCTCTACCCCGTGCTGCCCGCCACGCGCCACCCTGTCATGGACCACTTCCGCACGCGCTGCTTCCGCTCTCTGCTGCTGGGAGGAGTGGGGGACGAGGAGAGGGGGAAAGAGGGGGAGGGGGAAGGGGATGAGGGGACGGATGGGGTTGGGGGCGGTGGGTCAGGCAGAGGGAGGTGTGAGCAGATGGCGCTGCTGGGGGAGCTGATGATGCAGGTACGCCCCTTACAGCTGATGATGCAGGTACGCCCCCCGTAGCTGCTTACCTGCACCCATCGCTGTTGTCCCTCTCTGCTACCTCGCTGTTGTCACTCTCTGCTCCCTCGCCACATACCCCACAGGTTTCAGAATGATCGCTCTTCCCTCAAGTCGCCCATGTCATGCCCCCCTCATCCCGCTCCCCCCTCAGCATCAACTCCCTGCTCATTGCAACTCTCCGTACCTTGTCGCCTTTTACCCCATGCTCCCTCCGCGCCTCCCCCTGCCCTCCATGGCGCCATGGAGTGACTGTGGGCGTGCAGAGCCATGTGAGCTACACGGCGTGCAGGCTGGGGTCGCCCGCCACCGACCTCATAGTCGCCCTCGCCCGCACACACATGGGGCCGCAAGTGAGTGGTGCTGCCCATGCGGTAAAGTGATACATGGAAGATTAGAAGGTTGTTGCAAAGAGCCCACACCCGTATCGTGCCAACGTGCACATGCATGGGCGTGCTGCCTTTTCTTCCAACCCAATTCATTCCTCCCCATGCCTTCCCTCCCAACACCTGTCCACCCAACGCCTGCCTCCCAACACCTCCATGCCTGTCTCCCTGCGATGTATTATGGCCACAGGGGCCGCTGTGGGGCGCCAAGATAACGGGGGGTGGCAGTGGGGGGACGGTGTGTGTGCTGGGGGACAGCACGGCTGCTGCGCAGGCAGCAGTGGACGACGTGTGCCGGCACTTTGAGAGCGCCACGGGCCATCGCCCTCACCTCTTCCGCGGCTCCTCGCCCGGCGCCGCTCATTTCGGCCACCTCATCCTGCACCCGCCCTAGAGCCCCTCACCTCGCTCTCCACCAGGCCCTTATTTATCGGCGTAAAAGATGCTGATTACGCTGAATCTGGAGCCAATTTTTCTGGTTTGCCTGAAATTTCAGCATCTTCTTTATTTTTGCACTGAGTTTCCAGTTTGAAGTACAGGGACCACACTGACAAATAAGTGTTTTGTGTCAAATGTTGTAGCCTGTACTGAGGCTTGTCATGTGGAGTACAGTTGCTAGGGTTAGGCATATGTACCCCACCCCAAGTCACAGTAATACCACCATCATTCCGTTTCTGACATGGTATCACCTGGGTTGGATCCTCCTAGGATCCCGTTCCTCCCGTGCCCATGGCACCCTACCGTAGATCCCGCTGCACCTCGCCTACCACTCCCGAAGCGCCCATAGCGCCTATTGCACCTAGCCTACTTACGCCCGTGCCCCCCATTTTCTGTGGCCCTACGCGGCTCGGTACGCCGCGCACCAGCTGAACCTCTGGCCATGTGTTTTTCGGCCAAGGGTTACACCGACCAGTCTTTCGACCAGGTCTCCTCTGACTTCACCTTTTACCACCCTCCCCTTCACCGGTTCCATGACTCTCATGACGTCCGTTTTGACAAGTCAGCCCCCTACTACACCAGGTACCCCTGTCGAGGTCTTCCAGTTCCCCCTCCCCCCCTCTTCCTGACACCCACTCCCCCTCCTGCTCCTCCGGTACAGCCTTCCCCCCTTGGTCCAGCCCCGTCAGGTGTGTCACACGCTATCTACCCCCCCTCAGTAGCCCCTCAGGTCCCGTCCCCTTCGCCGCAGTTCTCCTCATAGTCATCACAGCAGCCGTCAGCACTTCCACAACAGACAGCTGCAAACCCTGAGGGTGCTGGTGTTCATGGCGCGGACCCTGGAGGTGCTAGCTCTGGAGGTGTTGGAGTTGGAGCTGAGAGTGCGTCTGCACGATGTCTTGGTTCTGTAGGTGCTGGAGTTGGAGCTGAGCCCGTATCTGCAGGAGGTTCTAGTCTCCAGGGAGCTTGTGTTAGTCGAGCTGTCCCTAGGGGTGCTACGACTAGGTGTGCGGGTGCGCCCTCTGCTGGACCTGGAGTTTAGAGCCCGGGACTGGCCGCATTGCTGCTGGTGGTGCTGGCTCTAGGGGTGGTGCGACTGGTACTTTGGAGGGCGGTCTTGGGGCTACCACCGCCCCGGACACTACTCCTCCTCCCCACCCCTACCCGACCCGGCACCAGGCCCTTCTTCGCCGTGCACGTGAGGAGCAGCTGGAATTGGAGCGAGAGAGGCTAGCGTTGGAGCGGCAGCAGCTGGAGCTACATTAGCTGGAGGAGCAGCAGCAGCCGCCGCAGCAGGAGCAGCAGCAGCAGCAGCAGAAGCAGCAGGAGCAGCAGGAGCCACAGCAGGCGCAGCAGCAGCAGCCGCCGCCTCCGACTCCTGTCTCTGGTCTTCGGACCCTCGGTCTCCCCTCTCCTCCTCCTCCCTCCTCCCCCTCTCGTCCTTCCTACGGTCCCATGTTTCCTACTCCTGACCCCAGCCCGGCTGTTTTCCCCTGTTCTCAGCCTTTGTTGTCCCCTCCTCTTTCTCACACTTGGGCTTCTCGCTCTCCTCGTGCTCGTCCCTCGTCCCCTGTTCCCGTCACTGACTTCGTACTGCCCTGTTTCATTCTAGCTCCCCTCGTCCGTCTCCGTCTGTGCTTCCTTCTCCCCCTGAGTCAGCCCTCACTGCTTCCCTCTCTACTCCTGTCACCGACTACTACCGCACGTACCGTCCTGTTATCTCTCGTGATCTCGCCTCTCTTGTTACAGACTCTTGTGCCTCTCTGTCCTCTGTCTCCGCCCTTACTGCCGCAGTCACTGAGTTCGCCACTACTCGCCGCCTTGACTACGCCACTCGTGTCGTGGCTGCTCCAGCTTGAGCTGGAGTTCCTGGCAGCCGTTTCGCCTCATATCTGTGCCATGGTGCTCACCCCTGAGGGAGACCCCGACGCCCTTGACATACCGACTCCTGGGACTTACGTTGAGGCAGTGTCAGGGCCTTGGGCCTCTCAGTGGAGAGCTGCCATGGACGCAGAGATGGCCTCCTACAGATCCACAGGCAGCTACGTCGACGAGGTTCACCCTCCAGTGGCGAACGTAGTCGATGACATGTGGATCTTCAAGGTGAAGCGGCCACCGGGATCTCCTCCAGTCTTCAAGGCGCGCTATGTGGTTAGAGGTTTCAGTCAGCGCGAGGAAGCTGACTTCTTTTAGTCATTTCCACCCTTTTACTTTCGGAAGAAAATGGTATTTATCCACACGTTTTAGCGCGGGGAAGAGACGAGCGATTTCGGTCGGCCACCAACAGTTCGATACAACATATGTGCCAAGATTTTCTATTCGCCGAATTCTTAAAGTTTACTGAGGCAAAGGCGGCGTTATCATTTCATTTGGGGAAAGGCAATGTTATCATTTCATATGGGTTGTAGTACATCGTTCTCGTCCTATTTAGGTTTACATAAGAGCATACTGTCAGAGGTCCACTGGTGATCCCCGATTGATCCTAGGGAAGGGTTACAGGCACGTTGGCCTGGGGGGTTATGGGCGCACTCACCCGCTACACAAACAAGCCCTTTTATCCCAGTGGTTAGTGGCTGGGATTCTGACATGGTATCAGAGCGAAGGTCTCGGGTTCGAATCCCGGTGTGTGCACCTCGGGCATCCCAGTGCGGGGGGGTGTCAGAGGTCCACTGGTGATCCCCGATTGATCCTAGGGAAGGGTTACAGGCACGTTGGCCTGGGGGGTTATGGGCGCACTCACCCGCTACACAAACAAGCCCTTTTATCCCAGTGGTTAGTGGCTGGGATTCTGACACATACGCAATTGGGTAAGCGGGTGGGAAATTAGAACTACAATTCCGAAATGAAAGCGTGGGTGGGGACGAATGTCCCATGTCTCTCTTTTGTAGGCAAAAGAGGGTGAGTAGCGCTTCGGCGCTACCTTTGCTGTGCTGGCCACGTGCCCCTTTTCATAATACAAAATTTTATCAAGTGTTACATGTTATTACATTTTCCATTAAAAAAAAAAAAGTGAAAGTTTACTTAGTCCAACTTGCAAAGGTTGCGTTATCATTTCATATGGGTCTTCTGAGGCAGGTGCGGTCGGGGCTGGCGGTGCCGCTCGATTGATAGCTGATGCATGGCGGGCGAGGAAGCCGTTGAAGGGTCCTGCTTCTGCATGGAGAGGGAGATGAGCTGATCCTGCGCGATTGTAACGTACATCTCCTTCGCGCTGTCGCTGCGCCATCGGCCCATGCGTTTGAAGAGCCGGTCAGGAACTCCGAGGCTTGTTGCCACCATGGCTGCATCTTTGCGGAATGAGTGGGTTCCGATGTGTGCGACATCCAGTCCAGCCTGTCTGTTGCACCAATTTCTGATCGTGACGTAGGATGGCCATTTGTTGACGGGTGTGGCTTGCAAATTCTTTGGGAAAACTCTTATCAGCGGTCCATGTGGTACCTTTGTGAGGCCTGCAATGCGTATGAATTTGCATGTGCACCTCACCGAGCAGTATCGGCCTGAAATTGCCGCCACTGGGATCCAGACACCCCTCCCTTCCTGGTCCGTCTTGGAGTGCGGGATGGGTAGCCACATTGCCTTCTCCTCGAACTATTCCATTGGAGCGATACGAGGTCAGAGTAGCACAAGAATGCCAAAAACATGAGAGGAGGAATCAAGCACTTCTGGTATTCCGTATGAATCGATGACTCGAGGAAGGGACGGTCCATGTCTTGCACTTGATGGAGAGATATGAGTTCTTTGGTCCTAGCAGGCCGAAGACCATGTCGCTTGGCAAACTCCCGCACTTGCAGGGTGAATGGTCCGACAGTAGGGGAGACTTCGCCTGTCATGCGATAGGCAAAGGCTACTGCCGAACATGTGAGGTTGATCACAGAGAGAGTTGGCTTGTTGTTGAGCAGGTGGATGAGATACAGCGCTAGCGTCAGGTCGGTTGCCGGTAGGAACTCGAGCTTAACTTGGGTACAGAAGGTGCGAAATCTCTGTCAATAAGGTCGGTACGTCTCAATTGTAGATGGTGTGTAAACGTGGCTAATTACGTGCATCAATTGTTGCTGTAGTTTGGCCAAAAGTCATGAAATCACACATTGACAATTTTTATTGGATTGCATAGTTTACACGCAAAGTAATGACAGGGCTGTCCGGCAATCCTAGTCCAGAAAATGCAGAGGTGTGTGAACTTGCCCGAAGGCATTGAATGCCTTGGGCAAGGGAAAGGTGCGCTACTACTGCTGGGGCCCACGATTGAGTGGACAGTTGGAGAAGCGGCCACCATGACGCTCTGGTCCACTGGGGAACTATCAGCGTGAGTTCTGCCTGTATGAGTTCCGCATGGCAAAGTGTAGCGGGGATTAAGTGTGGTGACGAGAAGGCAAAGCATCGCTCGCCTTGTCAAACATAATATGTTTATTATTATTGTAGGCTGTAGTGGGTGATACCTTAGGGGGTACACCAACTTAGGGTTTCATATTTGTACTGCTGTTCCTGTTAGTCACATCATTCCAGTCTCGTAATCTTGACATGGTATCAGAGCAGGTCCTTCCCTAGGACCGTTTTTTTTTTTTAAGGGCCCACCTACCTACCTACCTACCTACATACCTATCAAGCGCCCCTAGTGCGCCTCCTATTGCGCCCCTAGTGCGCCTCCTATTGCGCCCCTAGTGCGCTATCTTTTTTTTTACCGCGCGCGATCTGCTAGCCGCCCGCGCGCGGCCTATTTCGTGCGCGCGACCAGCCAGCAGCCCGCGCGCGGCCGTTTTTCGCGCGCGCCTAGCTAGCCGCCAGCGCGCGCGGTTCTTTTTCTTCGCGCGCGGCCCGTCGCGCTGCTCCGTGCTGCGCTCGACCCCCCCGCGCCTTCGTCGCCGCGGTCGGGCCTGCAGCAACAGCCGCGGCAGAGACTGCAGTCGCGGCCGTCGCAACTGCTGCAGCAGCCGCCGCCGCCTCTCCTGCCGCGGCCGC